ACAATGGTTTCCTCCCCCTTGTAAACGACCACGTTCTGCTCTGTCTCGTGCACTTCCACTTTGTAGAGGATTCCCTGGGGCAGGAGCTCCTGGAGGCTGTCCCAGATGAACACGGCAATGTTCTCTGTGGTGCTGGGGGGGAAAACAGCAGCAGGGTCAGAGCTGAAGTGGCAGAAATGTCACCAAGGCTGGGGGGACGCTGAAGGGGACCATGACACCTGGATTAGGTGGGGATTGTGGCACTGCCAGCAAACGTGGGTGGGATGGACAGGTCCTGTCTGTCCAGGCCAGTGAGGGACAGCAGGGCTGGACACAGGTGTGGACAGCACACAGGTAAAGGCTGCTGGTCCCCAGGTGGGATCAGCAACAGAACCAGAGGATGTGTCTCAAACTGCACCAGGGGAGATACAAGAGGAAGTTTTTTTATGGAAAGAATAATGAATTATTGGAATGCTTTGCCTGGGGAGGTGGTAGAGTCACCATCCCTGGATGTGTTTAAAAAAAGCCTGGATGTGGCACTTGGTGCCATGGGTCAGTTTAGGTGTTAAGGTGTGGGTTGGACTTGATGATCTTGGAGGTCTCTTCCAACCTGGTGATCCTGTGATTCTGTGATTCTGTGATCCTGTGATTCTGTGATTCTGTGACCCTGTGATTCTGTGATCCTATTATTCAGGGATTCTGTGATCCTGTGATTCTGTGATCAGACCCTGGAGACTGTTCCAGCCCCTCCAGGAGCCCCCATCACCCACCTCACCACCTCAGAGAAGTAGGGCACGTCCTTGTCCAGGTTTTTGTGGTCCAGTGGCTCCATGATCGCTTCCTGCAGGGAGAGGATGGTGACAGCCCTGTCCCTGCCTGGCCCGAGGTTCAGATAACCACACACAGCCAGGCAGGATGGGGAAAAAAGGGAAATGGCCCCAAATCCAGCTGTGAAATTCCCAGCTGGAAACGTGGCACTGCCTCACATAACAGAGCTAAGGCATTTAAGTCTTCAATTATTCCTTAATTTCTTTTTTATGTCCTGCCATCAGCAGCTCACCACGTCCCCATGCTGGTACCACACAAATTGCTGAGCTCTAATCAATCCTCCCAGGGGATGGGAAGGAAGACTGGGCTGTTTTTACCTGCATGTATTCCTTCAGGTCTGTCAGGTTCATCACCATCCCCGAGACTGGGTCAATCTGCAGGGGAAGCACAAAGGACATTGGTGGCCTGGAGACACAAATCAGACACAGATATCCGTGGAAAATATCTTTCCACTCTCAGAGGGTTCCAACCCCACTCCTGTGATGTTCCCAAGCCTGGAAACAATTCCAGAGGTTCCTCCCTCTCCTAAAATCTGACACCAGGGAGAAACAACTCACTGGAAGAGTCTTCAAGTATGATGATAAAAAGCATGAAAACGGCATTAAACTGCAAATCCTCGTTGTGGACAGGACAATGACCACGGAAAACCTTCTCTAGTGATGTGCACAGAGTTTCCAAAATACTCTGGGAAATTCAGGCGTGGGGATTCTGCCACACTGAGGAACAAAAAAAGGATTCTGGTTGCACTCACCTCTCCACGCACGGTGACCACAACTGAAAAAAAGAAAAGATCAGGTCACTGTGATGTCCAGGAACCCAAAATAAATCTGCTGCTGCTGGGGACACACAACCCACTCCCTGCTCACCCACAGGGTGCACTCAGGAGTAGGACTGTTTTTACAAAATGAGGGGATGCTCCATAAAAACAATGACTCAGAGGCACAAAAATCCTTCCCCAAGGTCTGATGCCCCAGGAGGTGGAGATAAGACTGTCTTCCCTGATAAAGCAGCTCCTGAGCAGAGATTTCAGGTGCCAACAACCCAGGGAGCCACTCCAGGAACTGGAGAGATCCAATTCTGTGTGCTCGGGGTGTAGAAATGGGAGAACTTGTGAAAAAAAAAAAACCAACATTCAAAATATGTTTACAGGCTGCTTAATTTGCATGGCTTTTGCTTAGAAAAAATCTCCCTTCCAATCACAATGATTCTGCAGAGTGTAAACAAGCAGATTTGATTCAAGAAGTGGCATTTGAAGATAAATATTTATTATCTATTCAGCTGCCAAACCCACGCTATGGTTCAACCCCCTGCTGCTGAAATTTCCTCTTAATTCTTATTAAAAACACAAATACACTAAAAGCTGTATCAGGCAGCTGAGAATGAGTGGCCCAGCCCTCCTGGGGTGATCCCCAGCCTGAGAGCAAGGATGGAAATCTGCTCCCTACCTTTGTAGTTGTGTCCGTGCCCATTTGGGTTGTTGCATTTCCCAAACAGCTTCAGGTTCTCCTCATCACTCAGGGATTTGCTGTGGGAAAGGCAGGCGTGGCACGTCAGCATCTGCTCCAGATGTTCCTGGATTCACTCAACTCTGCTTTCCAGCCTCCATCTCTTCCCTCTCCCACATTTAACCCACCAGCTCAGGAGGTACAAACACACAGAGGATGTTTGCTCCACGAAGAGATCTTGTTGTTGACAGCAGTGGATTCTTTTTTTTTTTTTTTTTTTTTTTTTTGCAGTGGTTTTGTGTCTGTTTCACAGCATCTGCCTGACACCACTGCTGGATAAATGCTCAACATCTGGGCCCAAAATCACTCAGGCCTGGAGCAAGCTGCACATTTGGGTTTATTATTAATTAGCAAAGCTTAGGGAGTCTCTCCAAGAAATACAACGGAATTCTCTCTGAATCTTCCCTTTGAAGCAATCCAGGGGCCTGCTCTGAGTGTTTCAGGTCAAGGCACATTTTGGGAAGATCACAGAATCCCAGGATGACTGAGGCTGGAAAAGAGCTGTGAGATCACTGAGCCCAGCCTGTGACCCAGAGCACTGAGTTCTTTGGGCACCTCCAGGGACGGGGACTCCCCTCCCAAGGCCTGGCCACCCTTTCCATGGAGAAATTCCTGCTGATGTCCAGCCCAACGCTCCTCCGGCGCAGCTCGGGGCTGTTTCCCCTTGTCCTACAGCCTGAGAGAAGAGGCCGAGCCTAAAATCTCCTTCAGCTCAAGGCACCCTTTAGGAATAGATCAGTTTTGGGGGGATAGGCGGGAGATGGGAGGGCGCAGGGCGATGTTTACAAACCGAAAGCGCCAGCGGCTCTGTTAAAACACGGAACTGCAGCCGGGCACTGGCGGAGCTGCGGGAAGGGGCTGAGCCACGGACGGAGCCGGGAAGGGAACGCGGCGAGGGCTCGGAGCCTCCTCCCGGCGGGGCCGCTCACCTGTGCGGGACTGCTCACCTGTGCGGGGCCGCTCACCTGTGCGGGACCGCTCACCTGTGCGGGACTGCTCACCTGTGCGGGGCCGCTCACCTGTGCGGGGCCGCTCACCTGTGCAGGCGATGGCAGGCGCTGAAGGTGACGGAGCGCGACAGCCGCGCCAGGCGGGCGGAGCGCGGCGACATCGCGGCGACGGAGCGGGGACGGAGCGGGGACGGAGCGGGGACGGAGCGGGGCGGCTCCAGCCCGGCCCCGGGGGCGGCTCCAGACCGCAGGATCCGCCCGCCGAGACCCGGGGATGCTCCGGTCCCTCCGTGCCGGGGTTGGAGCCGGGGATGCTCCAATTCCTCCGTGCCAATGTCGGGTCCGGGGATGCTTCAATCCTCCCCGTGTTCAGCCCCGGGAATGCTCCGGTCCTTCCTTGCCGGTGTCGGATCCGGGAATACTCTAATCCCCCCGTGTACGGCCCCAGGATGCACCAATCCTTCCCTTGTTCAGCCCCGGGAATGCTCCGGTCCTTCCTTGCCGGTGACACACTCGGGGATGCTCCAATTCCTCCCCGTGTTCAGCCCCGGGAATGCTCCGGTCCTTCCTTGCCGGTGACACACTCGGGGATGCTCCAATTCCTCCCCATGTTCAGCTCCAGGTTGCTCCAAATCCCGGTGTTCAGCCCCGAGGATGCTCCAGTCCTTCCGTTCCGGTGTCGGACTTGGGGATGCTTCAATCCCCCCAAGTTCATCCCCGGGATGCTCCAAATCCCCCGTGTTCAGCCCCGAGGATGCTCCGGTCCCTCTGTGCCGGTGTCGGCCCCGGGGACGCTCCAATTCTTCACCGTGTTCAGCTCCGGGGATGCTCCAATCCCCCCGTGTTTAGTCCCAGGATGCTCCAATCCCCCCTTGCTCAGCCCCGGCATGTTCCTGTCCCCCCGTGTCCGTGTGGGACCCCGGGATGGTTGTGGACACACATGCAGGAGGGCACCCCGGTAATAACATTGATGGAATTCAAGCAGAGGAATCCTTCAAGTCTGGTGATTTTCAGAAAGCTTTGGGAGAACAAGGAGAACCTGGATTTCTCCGTGCTGCAAGGGTGTGAATGTACGTTCCCTTAATTCCTGGGGATTCCTGGGGATAACGGAGTGAACCTGTGTGTTTGTCAGGGTGGGAAAACTCCACCAGGATCTGTGTGTGAGAGAACATCGGGAGGAGAGAGAGCACAGCCCGTGTGCCCAGCCCAGCAGGGCTGTGTGCTGGGGGAGCAGAGCTTTAAACACGGCAGCTCTGGGGACACAGCACGGGCTTGCACCTGAGCCTCTGAGCCCTTTTCGTTCCCCAAATCAACGAGAAAAAAAAACAACACACACACGCACAAAAAAACCCCAAAAAAACCCACCAAAGAAAAAAACACACAAAAAAATAACAAAAACCAACCAACCAAACAAACAAACAAACAAAAAAAAAACACACAAAAACCCAAAACAAAAACAACAAAAAAAAAAAAAGAACCAGTGGTGCCTGAATTCCATTAAACACCTCTTAGCGCCATCGTGCTGCCGGTCCTGGCGCCTCCAGGCTGTGACAATGACCAGCGGCAGCAGCAGAGGAGGCTGCAGGGCAGGGCTGGCACGGCACCAACGGGGGCTGTTTGCCATCTAGTGGCTTGGACCAGCTCTGGCTGAGCCTCCTCTGCCTCCCCCAGAGCCCGAGGGTAAAATCCTTTTTCTTTTCCCAAGACCTGTGAGGGAGGTGAAGGAAGGCCAGAGGAGGTAAAGCCCCAAGGGTGACAGGGCTCGTTTATTACTCAAGGAAATGATTCAAATAATTCTTTGGTCTTGTGACAATGGAGAAATAGAAGTCTTCACTTTTCATCCATGCACCTACACCCCAGAGCTCAGCAGCCTGGGTGACACAGGGGGCTGGAGTTTGTTCTGCTCTGCTTTACCCCAAAGAGATGCCGAGGCCATAGTGGAGCCCTCTGTGTTTCCTACTGGTGTTTCCTACTGGTTGAACTGGGAGGAAGGCAGGAACTATCAGCCAGCAGAGCTGTGTCCTGCTCTGGAGATGTTCCCCACATCGACAAGACTGTGTGAGGGCAAGGAAAGAAAGGAAAAAGTTCCCAAGGTTTTATTGGAGGGCACTGCTATGGTACAAAAAAAGCACACACACAACTTCTGTGAGTGTCTGCATCTACCCCCTGGAGTCCCCTGAAGGCAGCCTTGATGCAGTGAAGGGATTTCCTCCCCTTCACTGGCCCCACCTGTCACCTGTTGGGTTTTACTCCTCTCTTCTGCTTTACATATTCCAGCCAAAGCGTTGAAGGTCTCTTCCCCTCAGAGCACATTGCTGCCAAAGGAAGGGTTCATCACCTCAGATTCCATTTTCTCCCTTGCAAGCCTCACCCTGGCGTCCTTTGTGAACTGCTGCTACAGCTGGTCTAGCAAGATAGTGGCAAAAATGTAGATAAAACAGTGGGCTGTGGGTGCGAAGGGGCTTCTGCCTTCCTTGGCTGCATTTTGTTAGGAATTCAGGAGGTAACGGTGGAGAAAAAGCAGCTCCTTCGTCCCAGAAGTGAGGGGAAGGTGGGGGGTGAAAGCAGCAGCTTTCACCTGAGCCTGGCTCGGCCCTGAGTCCCAGGAGGTGCCCGGGAGTTCCTCAGTGGGCACTGAAGATGCCGTGGAACCCGTAAGGCATTGGCACCCCGACTTCTGCTCGCCCCAGCTCCCGGAAGGTCTCTGCATCCAGCACGAGCAGGAAAGCACTTTGGTTCTGCAGGAGGAGGACAAAGGCACAGTGAGTGGCCAGGCTGAGCTTCTTTCCACCGCGTTTGCACACAAAGGCACAGAGCAGGAGCCACGGAGCCCAAAGCACTGAGACTCACGGGTTCCATTGGGAAACCCCAACATTCTGAGCAGAACTCCTGCTTGCACTGCCTGTGCTTGGCCATGGCAGAGCACACACTCTGGGGAGCCTCAAACTCCTCGGCTTTGAGGTTTAAAAAGTGAATTAATGCTGTGTGACTTTGACAAATGACTGCCAGCAAGTTACCTCAGTGGGGGAGACCACCACAGACAAGATGACTCCGCTGTCCTCTGCCGTGGCATTAGGCACTGGCACAAACACAGGCTCTGATGGGTAGGATCCCTCCTCCTTCCAAATCTGGGAACATAAGGATGAGTTTCAGGGACATATGGATGAGTTTCATTTCATTAATACTTGCCTACTGCAGTGAGCAGAGTTACAAGTGCTCCCCACAAATGCACCTCTGTGCTCCAAGAAGCTTGGAGTTCAACCTTTTAATTAATTTTTTTTTTCCATTCCAGGAGTGTGATGGTGCCATCCTCTCCTGTTTGGTTCATAAGGTGCCATGTGAAATTGGGAATCTCATCCCAGAGCCACGTGGGCAAAGCCCTAAAGCCCCCAGCAAATGACACACCTTCAAATCCAGTTCAGTGGACGAGCTGACTTCACCTCACCTTGAAATTCTTGGTCTCCACATCAACCTTGATCAAGGAATCTCCCACCAGGTGCCCGAATCCACAGCCATAGAAGTAGCGGTACCTCCTGCCATTGTACCCCCTGTAATTGATCTGGGGGAACTCCAGGCCCCCAACCTTCTCAAAGCCCTCAGGGTGGAGATTTTCATGTGTGCACCAGACCTGGGAGAAATGTGCAGAAATCACAGCAGGGTTGGTTCAGCTTGCACAGGGCAGGAGAGCTGACTGGTCCCAGCAACCAGTGGTTAAAGCTCTGAGGCACAGGGCAGGGGCTGCTGCATAAATGCATTTATGGTTTGGTTTGGTTTGGTTTAGTTTGGTTTGATACACACCTTGCCATCTGCACCTTTCACAGCCTTTGCCTGGCTATAAGGCAGTGGGTTCAGGTTTTTCCCCACGGGTGTGTCTGAATCCAGGTCCAGAGGGAGAACAAAGCGGCGAGGGAAGGCTCTGGGAATGGAGGCATAGACCTGCCAGAGAGACAGAAAGTGTTGGTGATGGAGACAGGACACACATTTCAGCCTAAATGCACTTTTGGGGAACAATTCAGAAGTTTTAGACACCCCTGAATTCTTGTTCTTCTTTTCCTTACGTGTTTGACCAACTTCTGGTAAGGTAAAGCACACAATGGAAAGAAGAAGTTCCCTGCACGTTCCAGTAATTTACAGCAGAAACCAAAACCACAAGAATTAAAAGGGCCAGCACTGCTCTCACAGTAATTGATGCTGAGCTGGGTATGCACATCAGCCCATTACCTCCAAAGCCAATCCAGTGGGACAGACACTGCACTCTTTTTAGTTAGAACAGGTTTATGTTGCTTTACATCACTCCGTGGAGAAGCAGGAGAGCTCTGTGCCTTCAGTGCCTGAGGTTACCCTGCAGGATTCCCTCTTCCATGCCCAGGTACACTTGGATTCATGGGTGGAAGTCCAGGGGAATGGTGATGGATTTACTTGGGGAGCAAAGTGCAGCCCCCAGTGTGGCAGACACTCAGCACATTGAGAGGGATAATTCCACTTAATAATAATAATTCCACTTAATAATTGAGTTCTGCTCAAGCCAAGTTTTTAACCTGTCATATTCTCATATAAATAAAACAGATAAGGACCCTATTTTGGTGTCTTTCAGTTACTTCAATCTGCAATTCTTCAGTTCAGTTGTGAAACTTCACTTTAATCTCATGTGTTAATCCTGAAACCCTGTTTTCAAAACTTTTCTTGGTTCACGTAACCAGAGGAACTCTGCCAGACAAAATACTCTGCCAGGGTTAATGAGCAAATAAATCTGGGGAAAGAAGACAAGTCATGCCCAGACACTCCTGAGGCTTTTGGTGGAGTGAAGGCTGAGATTCTGTTGTGAAATTACTCCTCTGTATGTGGGGGGGGGTAAAGTGTGCTGGTGATGCCACTTGTCACTTGTGCTGGAAACACAGCCCCAGTGATGACACGACTTCAGCCACATCAAATTCCACCTGGGCTGTGCTCAGAGAAGGACCAAAAAAAAAAGCTGGGATTAACACTCTGCTGTACTTGAATATGTTCCTAAAACGCCTGAGAAAAGCCCAGAAGAAATGGCAGAAGAAAGCAGAAGCCCATGGGACACAGCTTTGCTCCTTCAGGTCAGAGCTGAGTTGGTTCAGACAGCTCAGGACACAGACAGAGGAAGTGCAGCCCTGTCTGGACATGCAGCAGCCCCCCCAGCACACTGGGTCTCCAACAAACACATCTGCAGGGCCAGAAACTGAAAGCACCACTTTTCCCATGTGTGACCTATGCAAAATAATGCCCCTCACACTGAAATGGGGCTTTTCACAGAGCTGGACACAATAAACAATTTATTCGAACGTGCTGTTCTGGGTGACTGTGGGGAAAAGTGCAGGGGTTTCTGTGGTATTTTTGTTTCTGTGATTTTCATAAAAACTGCTCCTTTTCTGAAGCAATGCCTTAAAGAACGGGGTTCCTTTTTCTTTTTCCATTTAGAAGTCATGCCACAACTTATTTTGCATAATTTCTTGGGGGAAAATTGTATTACACAATGATGAGGAAAATAAATGTCATCAAAACCAAGGTTTTAAAACAGAAATAAATTTTGTGTCACAGAATGGATCTCTGTGTCACACATAGAGCTTGAAGAGTTTTAAGGGCATGCTCCATGGAGAGAGAGCATCAAGAGCTGATAATTCCAGTTTTTATGGAGTTGTGGTTGTGTTGCTCTCCACTCTGAGCTCTGCTGTAGAAAAGCAGGTGCTGGGGAAGCAAAGGCAGGGATCTCACCTGGTCCAGCCCCTCCCCACTCCTCCTCATGTTCTGCAGGGTGTACAGGGCCAGGCTGGTGCCCTCGTCCTGGCAGCACAGGTCCAGCACCACGCAGCCCCGCTCCTCGAAGGCGTTGATTTGGTGGAAGGTCACGAAGGGCTTGGAGCACCACGGCCCTGGCAGCACCTGCAGGGAGCAGGGGACAGCCTCAGCTCCTCGTCACAGCTCCCAGCCTGGCCTCCAACACCTCCAGCATCCTCTCTCCCCCAAATTTCAACCCTTCTCATTCCTGGGGGTTTGCCCTCTGTCCCTGTGCTACCACAAAAGGGCTGCTTTAAGCCAGTAAGGAGCAGAAGAAGAAAACTCAAACTATCAAGCAGCCCCTTGCTGTGCATCTTTCCCAGGTTCTGACCTTTTTATACCCTGGGACCTGCATTGCATTTCATTTCATTTCATTTCATTTCATTTCATTTCATTTCATTTCATCTCATTTCATCCCTGTGCTGAAGTCTCGTGAACTCCAAACTGTTTCTTTCTGCCTGTCCTTTTAGGGCTGGCAAAGAAATGAATGAATAGAGAGGGAAATGCATGAAGAAATCCCATTTTTAGCCAATCTACACCCGTACTTTAAAGTCTTCATTGCAGTAACTCCTGGATTGGTTCTTAAACTCCCCATGGTTGCTACTTTGGGGATCTAAAGTCCCAGATTAGCTGCTGCAGGGGCCCAAGACCCCCTCACCTGCCCAGTGTGCTTGTTGACCACGTGGAAATAGGTGTTGTGCTGGGGCTCCCAGCTTATCCCATCAAAAATGGCTTTCCCACGGAGCTTGGAGGTGATGATCTTCAACAGGTTCATCCTGAGGGGCTGCTCGATGAAAATGATGTAGTTTTCAGTCATTCCTGAGGAGAGAAGGAAGGAAGGAAGGAATGCCACCCAAATACGAGGCAAGAAAACATCCGAGGGGCAGAGAGAACTGCACAGCCCTTTCTGCATCCCATTTCCCCAAAGTGCCTGGGTTTGGGCTGGCCTCTTACCAAAGCTGTGGTAGTAGGATGGCTTTGCCCTGTCCATGGGAGGGATGGAGCACAGCACTTTGGCTCCTTCCAACGTGTCCCCGTGGCCTGACTCCTGTGGGGGGACCCTGATGATGTTGTAGCTGGATCCTGGAAAGGGGAAAAGGTGTTCAAACCAAACTCGGGCTCTGCTCCTTCCTGTTCCCCAGGAATGCTTGGAAACACCTCTGCTAAACGGAGCAGAAACCCAACAGGCAGTAAAA